TGGTTTGCTAATTTGGTAATTGCACAGAAGCCCATCAAATAACTAGTAATTTCAGCACAGTGTTATGAGTTATGCTTTACACTGTGAAACAATGTACAATTGTTCTCTACTTGTATGGTAATTGGGTATGAGTTATGCATACCATCAATTCCAATCATCCTGCAGAAATTGTTATGGTATCAGATACAAAAATGACCAATTCTCAGATTTCATTTGAGAACAAGAGATTAAAAACAGATCAAACACGCCACAAGGTCAAAAAAAAAAAAAATCCAAGTGATCACTCGAGATTCCAGAACTTATCCTTCTTGTTTAGAGTTTTGGAACAGAAAATTCATCTTTTTGTTTCTCTCTGAAAATTTTTCATTATTTTACTGCAAAACTCTACAAATACCTAGCATGCCAGAATAATTTCAGATGTAGATAAAGAACACGTAGTAATTTCCAATTCTAGAGTTGAATAAATACGTAGAAAAGATAATGAGAAAATTTCTCCGTTTTTCTAAATTTCCTGCCAAAAACTCCACTTCATTTCGTACAATGATATAAATATATACACACACATAGAGAGAGAGAGAGAGAGAGAGAGAGAGAGCAAATCTTATGTTAGGTACCTAACACCCGTTTTGGTGTTAGATTCCACCACCTCCATGTTGGAAAGTTGTCTTGAATTCAACCCGGATTCTTGATGACCCGTTTTGGGTATTTTCCCTAAAATCTCATTTATACTTAGGGTTACACTAAAGAGATAAATGGGTAAAATACCCAAAACGGGTCAACATGAAAACCGGGTTGAATTCATGACAACTGTCCAATAAATCTCCACCTTTGCTTGAATTCTACCAAACCATCCAAAACAACAGGAATGAATCAAAGTTGCCTCCAAATAAGTCCCTAGACGCCATGCACTCAAAGGTGCTCAAACATGAGAGATATTGATCAAGTCTAAATAGTGCTTGAACTTGACCCTAGTCACCACCTTAGTAAGCATATTTATAGGGTTGTCTACATCCCCAATCTTCTGAAGAAGAATGTCACATTCATCCACAACTTCTCGAACAAAATGAAAACGGACGTCGATATGCTTTGTTCGAGAATGATGAACCTGGTTCTTTGCTAAAAAAATTACACTCTGACTGTCGTATTAGACCTCAATGTGCTCCTGAACAATCCCCAAGTCCTCAATCAACTCATGTAGCTAAATGACCTCCTTAATAGCATCTTTCACTGTCATGTACTCTGCCTCAGTAATAGACAAAGTAACTGTTGACTGTAACGTTGATCTCCAACTCACCGGTCCCCTAGCAAGAGTAAAGGCATATCCTGTAGTTGATCGGCGTTTATCCAAATCACCAGCATAGTCTAAATCCACATATCCAACCACGTGCTGACTAAGCATATCATCCGTCTCAAATATCAACCCAACATTGATTGTATCCTGAATGAATCGTAAGATCTATTTTACTGTCAACCAGTATCCTTTTCCTAGGGGCTGGGAGAGAAGAATGAGAGCAGTTTTCGAGTGTATTTGGGAAGAGGGTTTGTGAGAGTTGTAAAATCTTCCTGTTGAATTAGTGATTGATATCGCTGCACGTAGACGTAAGCATCTTGCTGAACCACGTAAATCGTGTCTCTCTTGTGGTTTGTTTTTCGCTTTCGATTTCGTTTTATTTGTTTACTGTTTTGGATTTATTTTACTCACTTTGCATGCTTTTGCACAACACTCCAACTATGAAGCACAAGTAACGGTGCTTTTCAAAAATCCTAAAAATTGGTGAGACTAAAGTACTGTCAACAGTTTTTGTGTTTTTCCAAAAACTCCCGTCTATGGCGCTTTGTTGTTGGAGAATGTGGAATCTAACATCAAAACTGTTGTTAGGTACCTAGTAGAAAGTTTGGTCTCAGTTATTAGTTATTACAACCCATATAGAAAGCAAATCTTCTATTAGGTACCCAACACCAGTTTTGTTGTTAGATTTCACCTCCAATAACAAAGCGCCACTTATAGAAGTTTTTGAAAGAACACAAAAAACAGAAAAGAAGGGTAGTTTAGGGCCTATTTGGCATCACTCCCAAGGAACAATTCTCTATTCCCATGTGTTTCTATTCCCAGTGAATAGAGATTTGTTCCTTGGGAGTGATGCCAAACAGGTCTTTGGTCACCAAAATTTGTGTTTTTCTTCTTCTAAAAACACCTTTACATGAGCTTTGTAAGTGGAGATGGTGGAATTTAACACCAAAAGTGATGTTATGTACCTAACAGAAGATTTGCCCTTGACTTAAGATGCGCTTGTCTCCTTATTTGGTGGAAAGTTAGTGGCAATGAGGCTCAACATAGTTACAGGTGCACATTCAAACAGGAATAGTCCCATTCAATAACTGAAATAACCTGTCTCATTTTATTCTTCAGCTAGAGGAAGATACGATGCCAATCGAGGTTCTTGCTCAGTCCCTCTTGGCATATATTTCAGAGATCACAGCCTCAGTGGCATGCATAGAAGTAGAACAGGATAACTTTATGGAATTTGGATGTTACCTGTATCGTACTTCTCCAGCCATAATGGAGTTGCAGAGAGCTGAGAATGTCCCAACAAATGCAAGGGAGATTCTACAATTTCTATCCAAAAGCTTCGATCTTGCCAAGGATCTAGTGGGAAAATTTCACACAGAAGCCAATTTGATTCCACATCCTGAACTCAGAAGGATCATAAAACAGCTGGAAGGGGTGACGAAAAACATAGGGGAGGGCCTGAGCTTAATACCAATTGCAACATTTTGTGGTCAAGAATATGCAGAAATTGCAGTACAATCTCTTTCAAGGGAGATGAAAAATGCTTACTTTGAAGCTAGTCAAATTCAAGTGTCAGAGTACAAAGAACCAAAATTACAAATATTGTCTTTTGAAGAACAACCAAAGGGAGAACCAGCATCAACAGAAACAGATCTTTACTCCATCCACATCGATCCTGAGAATCTTCAGTTGTTAGATATGCAACAACTTATTGCCATTAGAGACATGGCGTACAGTGGCCAAGGAAGCCATGGAAACACAAGCGCTCTATCGGTGAAGACATTGCCACAGGTGGCTGAGTACATGGAGCCTCTGTATGAGACTTTCTTCTGTCCATTAACAAAGAAGATCATGGATGACCCAGTCACCATTGAAAGTGGTGTGACCTATGAGAGGAAGGCTATAACCGAGTGGTTCAAGAAGTTTGCAGATTGGGAGGATATCGTTTGCCCAACCACAGGGAAGAAACTTGCAAGTACAGTTTTAAACACCAATATAGCTTTAAAGACCACAATAGAAGAATGGCAGGAAAGAAATGAAGCAACAAGGATCAAGGTTGCACGGGCTGCTTTGTCTTTAGCCAGCTCAGACAGTATGGTCCTCGAAACACTAAAAGACTTGCAACATCTCTGCCAGGGGAAACAATACAATAAAGTACAGATCCGCAACATTGGAATGATACCATTACTTACTCAGTTTCTGGGGTATCAAGACAGAATGGTGAGGTGTGCAACACTGGACACATTACGACAATTGGCAGAGGATGATGAGGGCAAGGTTTAACTCTATGTTCTCCTGAGCTCTCAAATTTTTTTTCTGCAAAATGAACCCAAACACAATTCTAGACTAACTAAAACCTGATATAATAATGTGGCCCAGAAAGAATGATGTGATGATACTCTACTTTCAAATAAATACCCATGTTGGGAAATATCTCATTATTTTCATCCATAGCTTACACACTAATTATGTAAGTTTAGAGTAATACTATTTATATACATATGTTTAATAAATTTGTGCGCTAAACCTGGTTTTTAGGTTTGAGGCTATAAAACCAAACCTGGTTTTAAGTCAGGTTTTCAAGTTATTTGTGATTTAATCTTGGATAAAATGACAAGAAATTGGTAATTGCCTAATTGATACATACATACATACATACATACATACATACATACATAAATACATACAGGAAATTGGTGTGGAGAAATGATCTCCATTCTCCAGTCCCGAGGTGAGAATGCAGGTGAAGAGTTAGGCTAGCGCGCCTAAGGCGAAAGGCTCTGTTCGGCCCGAGAGGTGTAAGGGTCAGAACAAGAGGATGGATACCAGCAAGCACCACATCAGGTGGAGACCTTAGCTGGCTAAGTGAGCCTAACATCTAGCTTAAGAAAGAGGCTAGGAAGCCAGGGCGAGTTACTTGATTCCGAGTTAGACCGAGTCCAGTTATTTTCAAGTTTTCCAAGTTACACGTCCCGGCTAACTTTTGAGTTGTGTCGAGTTTTCGGGTTTTTGAACCATGGCCCCACCATAGTATAAAATTTCAATGCCTTAATTATCAGTTTTTACTTTTTTTCGGCTCTTAGTTATATAGTTTCAGTGCTTCTACCGCCTATGAAGATCTATTTGTTTTTATTTTAAAGTATATTAATATACGTGTATTGTTCAACTAAATGTAAGTCTTAATTGATTATCAAAAATAAAGGAGCTCAAAAGTTTGTAAACTATTTCCAACAGATACATTCTATTTGGTGGGTATATGTGTGCAGGAGATGATCGGCAGGACAAAGGTCATTTCAACAATAATCAAGATGTTGTCAGTTCATCACCTTCCAGAAAGGCATGCATCCTTGTTGTTCTTGCTTGAGCTTTCAAGATCAGAACCACTGTGTGAGAAAATTGGGTCAGTTACTGGGGTGATTCTGATGCTGATCACAATGAAATACAAGCAGTCCTTTGATGACTTCACTGCAGCGAAAGCAGAAGAAATCCTAAGGAACTTGGAGATATCTCCAAACAACATCAAGCGTATGGCAGAAAATGGACTCTTGGAACCCCTTCTAAATCATCTTTCTGGAGGTAAATTCTAGTACTTTCCTCATACTCGCACACTAATCAGTATCACTTAGTGGATTTGAGCATGCAACATAACAATTGAGATGCAGTTGTCAACCATTTGATAATACTTCATGTTCATCAAAACAGATTTTCATGTCAAGAATGGGATTCGAAATCCTGCTCTTTTGTACCAGTACCTGAAACGGGTTCCGTAACCAACTTGGCCATCTTGACCTTTTTTTATAATTAAGTTTTCTACACACCTGTATATAAATGCACCAAAGAAATATAGGGAGAAATAGAGGTCATTCCTAACCAGTGTCTCAGAGGACACCAGCTTAACTGGTGGCACAAGGATTCATCACACGCATCTAAAGCAAAATCTATGTCGAACAGGTATGGATAAGAGTTACATAGTCCGACATGGAAATAACATATTAGGGTTTAATGAATTAAATAATAACACAAATATGCTTATCTAGAAAGAATAACATATTTAATGTAACTTCACTGTTTACAAAAGTCTTTTTGTTGAGAATAGCAGTACTCAAACTCTATTATATGTGTGGAACATAGGCCAATACCCAGTCTAAAAAAATTAAAAATGGGAACAAAGAAAGAAACAGAGAATTCTGGATACTTTTTTTGATTGGGAAAGAGATTTCTGGATACTTCTATCCAATGACCAAATTTTGGCATTTTTGCGGCTCAAATGTGCAAGTATAGTGTGTTGAAACTCATTCAAGTCCTCTAGCCAATATTACCTTCTTAACTACAAAACTGAAACAGGGAATGAAGATATGCAAATGGAAATGGGGAACTACCTCGGGGAAATTGTTCTAGGGCATGACACTAAAATCTATGTGGCCGAGAGAGCTTCTCCTGCCTTGATCAAAATGTTGCACAGCAGAAACACTCTAACAAGGAAGGCAGCATTTAAAGCTCTAGTGCAGATCTCATCTTACCACCCAAACAGCAAAACACTGGTAGAAGCTGGCATCATGCCGATCATGGTCGAAGAGATGTTCAAGCAGATAATCTACAACGAAGCCATGAATTCAAAGAAAGAAGCTGCTGCAATCCTAGCAAACATACTCAAGTCCGGGCTAGCTATCGAGACCATCCAAGTAAACACGCATGGACACACAATGAGTTCAGACTACATTGTGTACAGCATCATCCACATGCTCAAGAACCCGACCCCAGATGAAATTAACATCAACCTCATCAAAATCCTTCTCTGCCTAACAGAATCCCCCAAATCAACAGCTGCTGTAGTCTCCGTGGTCAAAGAGACCGAAGCAAGCTACACCCTGATTGAACTAATCAGCTCCACACATGATGAACTGGGGATTGCATCAATTAAACTGCTCATCACACTCGCACCCTTTATAGGCCACACACTGGCAGATAGACTCTGCAAGGTCAGAGGCCAACCAGAGAACTTAATCCAGAACCCAACCGAAATAACCCGAATCAGTGAGAAGCAAGCGGTTTCGGCAAACTTCCTAGCTAAACTCCCCCACCAGAACCTCACACTAAATCTAGCTCTGCTCCACAAAAACACAGTCCCTACAATCCTACAAACAATCAGTGAAATCCAAAGAAGTGAAACAAGAACAAGTAGGTATGCAAATTCTTACTTAGATGGCCTAGTGGGTATTATTGTCAGATTCACAACAACAATATTTGTACCCGAAATACTTACCCTAGCCAGAAACCACAACTTCACATCAGTATTCACAGAACTACTCATGAGAACAGCAAGTGATGAAGTACAGAGATTATCAGCAATTGGGTTAGAGAATCTCTCATCAGAATCAATAAAATTATCAAAACCCCCAGAGATCAAGATACCCAAGTTTGTGAATTTGTGCTACTTACCCAGGTTTCTGTCATGTGGATCATCAAAGGGGAAGAGAATACAAGTGTGCCCAGTTCACAGAGGAGCTTGTTCTTCACAAACCACATTTTGCTTACTTGATGCTACGGCAATTGAGAGGTTGTTGGCTTGTTTGGACCATGAAAATGTACAGGTGGTTGAAGCTGCACTTTCTGCAATCTGTACTTTGTTGGATGACAAGGTTGATGTGGACCAGAGTGTGAGTTTTCTGAGTGGAGTGAATGCCATACAGCATGTCTTGAATGTTTTGAAGGAGCACAGAGAAGAGGGTTTGAGGCAGAAATCATTTTGGGTGATTGAGAAATTCTTGATGAAAGGTGGAGATAGGTCTGCTTCTGATATTTCACAGGACAGGTTGTTGCCTTCAACACTGGTCACTGCTCTCCATCATGGGGATGGGAATACCAGGCAAATGGCTGAGAAGATTTTGAGGCATCTGAATAAAATGCCCAACTTCTCTACCAAATTTCTCTCATAAATCTGTCTCTTATATTTGTGGGACCCATTGGAATGTTGGTATTGTATAAGTAGTTTTTTTTTTATGGAAGAGTGATTTGTAGATTTTTTTTTGTAGATGTTGATGGTTGTTATTCATGAATGTATACACTTGTTTTTTTTTGTTTGGAATGTATACAGTGTTACTGAGATTTTTTTTTTTTTTTGGTTAAAACGATTTCATTCCATAATTGAAAATACAAGAGAGATTTGCCTCTCCTCAGGAGGATAAGAATTCGAGTTAGAAAAGTATGACAACGAGGGAAAGTTTCGGATACTAGAGTTCAGGGCCTCTTGTGCCTTACAATGGGCCACGAAATTCGCGGTTCTAGGAATAAAAGTGAAACGAACCGATCCACAAAAAGTTCGAAGATGCTCAATATCCGTCATCAGAGCATATATCTCCCTGTGAACAAACTCAGAATTCCCCAGCAGCGAATCAAAAAGCTTTAGGATCAATAAGCTCCCTAGAGTCGGACTCTAGGATTATCTGATTCCAATGGTTTGAAATTGTCATCTGAAGGCCTAACCGATTGGCTGTTGCCTCGGCTATATGGTTACTGCCTCCTAAAAGAGGTTGATGAGAAGACGCTAATACTTTGCCTAAGTAATTTCGAGCGATTGCTCCCGCCCCCTTTGCAAGGTGAGACTGAAGAGCTGCCCCGTCCACATTGACTTTGATCCAATCCCTTGGCAGCGGTTCCCATTTTGAGATAGAGAACCCCGAATCAAGCACTGGAGATTTAGCTTCCGAGAGCTCTTAGATGAAATGTTCAAGCTTTCGGATGGTATTGGTAGGATTTGGGGCTGTGTTGTTGAAAATGGTCTCATTTCGCATTTTCCAGATGAACCACAATGTACAGCACACATGAATGGCCAGATGGCTGGCACGACATTTGAACTCAAGATGCAATAACCACTTCTTCCACCACTGGTTGAAATCAGCTTCTACTGAAGATGGGAGTTGTAGGGAAAGATGGGAACGGAACCAAATGCTCCGCGAGCAGGGGCAAATGAAGAACAGGTGAGTCATGGTTTCCGGTTCCACCTTACACAACACACAGGTCTCATCCACCGGAATGTTGCGCCTCCGAAGGTTTGGATCAATTGCAAGGGCATTATGACAAGAAAAGTGATTTTTTTGATAAGAATAGTGATTTTCACATTCATCTGATTAAATCAAAAGCATTATCAGATCTCCAGCTGAGACCCATCAAATGTCCCCTATGGTAAAAAAATCAGACTGACCCAGGATATCCTCTTGGAAAAGAATATTGGTTCTTCAGTTCCACCAATGGCGTGGACTTGTGGACTCTATGGAGGACCTACTCTTCAGGAGGATGCCATCACAACTCTTATCTTCTCCAGTGCTCCTAATCAGTAATTAGCATCATATGTCTCACATTTCTAATTGACCAAAACATACCACTAAAATAACAAAAATTCCTCCAAAAAGCTTCTTGAATGAATCTTTTACTGTGAGGACATTTAAATCAATGAAAAATACTTTTTTCTTTTTGGTTAAACGAAAACTACTTCAAAGTTGTAGATTATGTCAAATCAAAGGACGGCTGATTTACTAAATAATGCTATAATGGGTATATATTTCAAAGTTTAGATATACTTTCCCCTCTGTTTCTTAAAAGATTTGAGAAAATAACAAGAGAGCAGGTTTTGGCCGGCAATGTCGAACTGACGACACGACTTTTTTCTAAACAAAATCTAAACCTGTCATTGAATTTTTAAGCCACCTTTTTCAATTCCCTAAATACCCTTTTAACCTATATTATAATCAAACCTCTCTTTGGCAAAACCAAAACCCGTTTCTTCCTATCCTGAATTTAATTTAATTTTGTAGAATTCAGGAGATAAAAATTTTCTTTTAGTTGTAATTTTTAAAATTAGAAGTTTAATTAAATCTGGATATCAGGATATGGGGTTCACTAATTTAAGGGTGTTATCTACAAAAAATGAAATGACTTGGTTATATGTCATTAGAGGTTTCAGTCAAGGTTTAAAAAAATGGTTTTAGACACCGTAATGGACACGGCCGAAACCTTTACGTAACGCCGTTACGTAATGGTTTCGGCCTTTACTTATTATTATTATTTTTTTTAAATCTAAAAATTTTCAATAAATAGAAAAAAAATAAAAAAAACATATAATGAATGAGTAACAAGATACTTTTAAAGCCAATATGAAGCTCAAAATTTAGAAATAAAGAAATTAGATGGGTCGAGGGTTGAAACATACCCGAAATAAAGAACTTGTCTTGGATTCCTTCAAATCTATAAATTAAACCCCCAATCAAGTTGTTAACCAACAAAAAACAAAATGATTTTAGGAAAAAAAAAGTACTAAGAATAGGTAGAGAAGAAGCAAAGATGAGGTTTTGGAATAAGTTTAGGGATTTTCGGAACTCAGTCCTATGACCAAAACATTTACATATTGGGCGTAACACCCATTACGTAACGGTTTCGGGTGTTATAGTTTTGTTTTGGAATAAACGAGTAAATGTACGATATTGGGTATCGGAGGCCACCGAAACCTTTACGTAACGGTTTTGGCGATTTTTTAAACCATGGTTACAGTAGCTCAAGAGAGAATACAATAACTAAAATGGTGAGTAATTTGTAATTTATTTATCCATTTATTAGTTAACCTCTTCGAGTTGGAGTTTTCATTTCCTAATGTCATCTACAACTTAAGTCTTTTTTCTTTGGCTCTAGATATAGGATAAGTCCGCAACCGCAGTTAGTATGTTAGTATCTGTTCGAGTTAGTAGTGGGGAGTGAGTGCTTGCTACTCATCACCCGGTAGGATTAGATCTAAGACC